TAAGATTGTCAATTTCAAGAAATAGGAAAACACATGACAAAAACAATTCAGAGTGTACATTTAACCACCTCACTTCCAGGATTCTAGAAAACCTGCTCAGACAAAACAAATAATAATAATAATAATAGAAAAAGAAAGCACCATGCCTCACTTTCAAATGAAAAGAAACTGGGTGGAAATGTCACCTCGGACAAAATCATTAGAATTAAAACAAGGATTATCAGGCAAAAATAAGACGTCACAAATAGACAAAAAAAAAAATATATAAAAAGAAAATTGACCAACCCTCAGATTTTGACGCTTCATTCTGATCATGTACCTGAAAAATAAAATAAATAAATCAATAAAATGATGATGAAGACGTTGCTACAGTAAAAATAGGAGCCAACTTCCAAGGAGTAAGCATATACTGACCAACTTTTCCTTTTCCCCCCTGCAACTACTTTCTGCATGCCCAACAGATTGGTTATCATGATCCCTGAATGAAAATACGCCCACTTAGCAACTTGGTGAGATTCTTGCATACAATAGATAATAGCTAGAAATAGAAAATATCATCATTTCAAAACTAAGATGGAACATAAACGTTTTAATATTTCTCCTGACAGAATCAGACATGAGACTTCAGAAGGTAGAATATGAACCTGCTTGCATCACTCAGAGATTGATTAGAAAGCTGATCGGTTAACAGCTTTTGACCATGATACTCAGAATCTGAACGATAGGAGTCCCTGATCTTCTCAGCTAAAGAAGTTGGCATTTCTCCCTACCGCAAGAAACACCGGTGTTAGGAGAAACCCATAGGTCTATTATCCATAGAAGGCCAATGGGTAGAGAAACAATTAGTGCATTTATCATCAAGGAATAAATATGAATTATATGTGATTGTTAAATTTGATATACATATGCTAACGGAAGAATATTATAGAACTGGACTGCAAATCTAAGTATGGCTTAACTCCTTAGACTGCCATTTGTTTACTTTCCAATCAGAGAAATGAAATACCATGAAAGATGAAGAAGAGAAAATCAGACAGAACAAGCACGTGATAAAGATAGGAGAAAATATGAACAAAAACACTTCAAAGAATTTCACTATCATGCTTTAAATATTCAATTTATCCATAGTGGGATTTAATTTGGCGTCTGGTTAAACTACTTCAATCACCCTCACATACTAACCCATTTTTAAAATAGAAGAAAACAGAAGTTAGAAAGTAACCACAAACAAACACCTAAAGTAGGCCAATGACTAAATGGTTATCAACTTTGACATGAAAATATATTTTCATGGAATAAAAGTACCATCAATGAAGATCTTGATGATGTTTGAGTTCCATCTTTGGTTTTCCCCATAATCGTGTCTATTAGAGGTTTGCCAACAACGGCACTGGAGGCATCTCCAAATGTTTCATCATTCCGAGAATCCAGCAAAATGTTCTCAATCTCATCATAACCACTATCATCGACTTTCCGTCGGACAGAGGAGAACCGAGTTTCTTCATCAATTTCAAGATTTTCAAGTTGAATACCTCTCTCCTATCAAAATAATAAAATTGGGGTAAAGGGACCCGGAAAAGAAAAACTAAAACAGAAACAGAACACAGCCCAAAAACCCTGAAAAAAGAAACAGAGAAAGAAAGAAAGGTAGCCACGCCCCAGTCTCACCTCAGCTAAATGAAGATCAAGAGTTTCCTCACCCTCAATCTCTCTGGCTAACCTTGTAGCTTCCCTTTCCAATTCTCTCATCTGAGGGCCTCTCTCAAGCTTTGTTGTGTAAAGTTCCTCATTGAAGGTACTCTTAACTCCAAATAATGTGGCATTTGCTTCAAACTGATCCCAGCCTCTGCTAATTACATACACGTATCACATCAGGAACACAATTACATAAAAGAGAATAACAAGAATCAACTTAGGGGACTCTTTCATGGAAAACATGATTCTTCAACAAATTGGGCACCACTAAACTACATATGCATAATGGAGCAAATTCTATATGAAAAAACAAATAAAAGAAAAGTTTAACATATATTATCTCAAATGGTCATTTATGCTAAGACTCATTTCTTCATGAAGCAAGTAATATCCAAACCTATTCCAATGCCCATCGAAGATGTTATCCAACTCCGGACAACCGGGATCATTTTCATCAGGGACCCAAGGCTCCAATTCTCTCCCCACTTCTACATGTCGAGATTGTGATATGCAGGAATCTGTCATAAGCTCTTGCTGCCTTTCATTCTGGAGCTCATTTGTTAATCCATCCCTCGATAAAGACACTTCCTATTCCGAAATTAGAAAGAAAAAGTTATGCACAGTTTCGAGTAAAGAGCAGCCAAACAAATCACAATTTCTAAACTCCTGCTTAATAAGATATGATGAAAAAGATGCCACAAAAACCCATCTCATGGGACAGAATTTATATATCGTTAGTTTAGCAGTCCAATCCAGCATCAATAAGAAATTTTAATAACTAGCCGAATGACAGAAATGAACAGGACCTTTGCTATCACTTGTACAAGATCCTTAGCTGGTACAATAAAAGTCCTAGCAGGATGCTTGCTTGGACAATCTGAAACACTCTTCTGTCCTTGAGAACCATCTTTAATTACATGAGCCATTTTCAGAACAATTCCTGCACCAAGTAGCCAATTCCCATGAACAATAAAAATGCAACAAACAAATCGACAATCATAACTATAAGAGCAATGATGGTGACAATGGAATTTCCAATTCCACATGCAAGGCTTAATAAATTTGTGCAAGCATCATCGATCGTTCAACATACCAAAATCCTCTGCATTTGTCGCATGAAATACTCCAGAAATAACAGATCCATCCTGCACCTGAACTTCAACTTGTTGTCCAATGAGGCATGTAGTAACATATATTAAACGATCACCTGAAGGAGATTCAAGCCCCCCTCCTTTACCTAAATTGTTTTAAGTTAGAATATAGAAATAACAGATCGATAAAATAGTATACTGTAGTAAAGTGCAAGCCCTTACCAAAACTGGTCCAGCTAGAATTTGTTTTTCCAGATTGAAATTTACTATCAAACCTAGATCCTGCATCTCTTTCAACTTTACGACGGCCAAATCCATTAGAAGATCTGGGTTGCACAACTTGCTGCATATTCATCTCCCAAAAGAGAGCTCAAGTATAGACAGTATACCTGTTCCAACATTAACTTTATAGTCAATAGCCTTCAAAAGGAACAACCAAAACTCCATTACAAAGGGCAATGATGTGAAACTGAAGGCACGATGACATTCATGATTTCCTACGAAAAAAGCTTCTCATAACAAAACAAAAAATAACAAGCCACTGCACTCAGATGTCATTACCCCTTGTGCTTATTTTGTGGCAAGTAGGCTCAAAAATGGTAGTGGGCATCTACAGACTAGACCCAGCAACCACATTTGGTAAACCAAACAGAGCTTCCATAATATTATCAGTTCATGTAGGGTTTGAGGTAACAAACAGCCCAAGTTAGTCACTCAACGAACTATAAAGCATTGAGCATTGATGAAACAAATGTCCTTTAAAACATGAAAATAGGAATTGGGGATTACTACATATTACAAAACCATAAAAATTGGAAGGATTATATATAATGCCATAAATTTCAAACAACCACTCGAACCATGCCAAAATTAACTGCAATAAATGTTAAAAAAAAATCAAAACATGCCACAAAGTGAGAACCATCAAGAAATTAGATTGATAAACAGTGACACTTGACACCACTGCAACAAAATTTAGAATAGAAAATAAGTTTTTATTGACATATTGCATGACTATCTCAGGATGTGCACCGTACATTCATTGCATACAAAGAAATCTTCACTGTTTGTTATATTGTTGTGGCAAGTCGAAACTCGGAATATATAAAGGTAGACTAACTCAAAAGAGTTCTAAAAGATGAATCAATTATCACAACATTTTCCACAAATAGAGAGGGTAAGAAGGTTGACGAGAAAAAAGGAAAGGAAAGGAAAGGAAAGAACGAAAAGAAAAGAATGAAAATGTGTTAGCTATAAAATTATCTTCGATCAACCTGCCAATACTTTTAGATGTTATTCATCCTGATGCCACCACACACTAATTTTTTCTGATAGCATTTAGTATTTCTTGCAAATCTATCTCCTTTCTCATAAGTTATATAAGTATGTGAATATGAGCATCCACATTTCATTGGAAGGTAAGAAGTATTTTCAAACTTAAAAACATAAGACATATACAATCAAAGAGCGATATCCGTATATTCCTTGTATGCTTAGTACATTCACAGTTCATGTGCTTAAATATAATAACTTCCAAATGCATAGTTGCATACTACCTCAACAAAACAAGATAGACACCTTAGCTACTAATCAATGATGATGTAAAATCCTTAGGCCCTACCAGAATCACAAAATAGTGCACCATCCTCAAGCATCCAACATTTCAATGGAAGATAAAAAAAGTATTTTCTAACTTCTATTTACATCTACAAGGCAAGAGTAATATCCATACATTCCTCAGATTTCGTAATTAGTAATATCCATATATTCTTCATATGCTTAGGTAATTTTAAAGGCATATTACCAGAACAAAACAGGAACAGCACCTTAGATACTAATCAATGATTTTGTGGATTGCTAATAAGGCTGTACCAGGATCACAATATAGTGCATCATCATCAACAAAAACCAACAGCGAACAATTCAAGCCCCTTTGGTAGCAGAATTTCAATTATTTGAAGCTCCCCAGATTGGGAACCTTGGGAACATGTCAAACAAATTAATCATTCAATCTAACTTTAAGATATCTTGAACCACTCTACAAAACCAAAAAATCACACCGCCGACAAAAATGCATCTGGGCTCAAATGTGGAACTAAATTGATGTCAAACACACAATCATTTGCTCAAACAACAACAACAACGACGACAACAACAACAACAAGGAACGAAGAAATCAAATTAATGTTCTTTTCAGGAAACAGAAGGTTCCAAATGAACCCTGAAACCGTAAATAAGCAAACATAAATAAATAAAATCGACAGAATAGAAACGCTACTCGAGTATTGCAATGGTCCAAACACAGACGGACGCGCAATTTCGTTATGTTCATTTTCAGTTACGGCACTCCTCGGAGGATAAGCGCCTCTAAAAGATTCAATATAAAAAAACCAAGGAAAACAGAGAAAGAAAACCCTAATGAAATTCCCCTCGAAGACCCTGTGATCCAACCAATAATCAACATACAAAGACCTAAAAATTGCATGCAGGTATAAGGAGAAAAGCTCACGGGGAAGCTATGGAGAGCGAGAAAGGAGGCGATCTACGGGAAACGGTCAGATCGGGAGAACAAACGGTGTCGTCTGCGCTTTCTGGTTTGAGGTGTTGCCGCCACGCAAAAGCCGGACCCGAGTGAAAGTACGATCGGCAAGTATTATTGCGTGTGTCCGTCGAGAATTTTATTTGGTGGGCCAATTACCCGAACAACCCGAACCTTTACAAATTCAAAATTAGATTAGGAATTGGAAAAGTTGATTAAAATACATGTGAAAACCAAATCGAACTAAATTCATGTTAGTAGTCGTGAATCGAAATCCAAAACAAATTTGGACGTGCAACTTGTAAGATCGTTGGTTAGGGGAGATTTGGTGATTAAAAGTAGGTACTTCAGTAGAGAGAGACTGAGGTGAGGGCTATAAGTGGTGATTCATAAGCGTAGAGAAGCTGGTTAGGGGTGAGAGATAGTTTAACCTTAGGTGTGAGGTACCAAATGGGTAATGGTCACTCTATATAATAAGGTTTGGGACTCTCGTTGGGTCCTTGAGAATTTGTTGTTCAAACGTTTCTGCAATTTCCCTACTGACAAGGCTAGATTTAAGTGGGTTAGAGAGTTACTGAGTGAGGGGAGAAAATCTTAGGATAGAGAGGTGGTGCTCCAAATCTTCAATCCATCTGATGTCGTGACTACAGTTAGTATGCCTTTTATGTCACACTGGGGCGAGAGATAAGACTAGTTTGGCACTGGGAGAAAAGTGGAAAATATACTATGAGATCACCCTTTTAATTACTCTTGAAATAGCAGGACAAAAGAATGCAGACGACCAAACACTTTACGGGGGAAGATGACAATACTCTGGACCAAAACTTGACAACTACCCATCAAACACAAGTTAAAAACCTTCATTTGGTGATGTTGGAATGAGTTTCTAAGCACCAATGTCCAGCTGACAAGGAAATGAGTGATAGTGGAGTTGATTTATGATGTGTGTGGTGAATAACCATAATTTCTTCAGGCGCACAAGTGTCTTTACCTGTTGGCAACTGCTTGGGGTGGGTTGGAACATATTGAATAACAAGGATTGCAAATTTTGAGACTGGTGGGTAGAGGTGAGTAAGTATACTCAAACCAACTTCATGGGGGAAAGAGTATGTTTGTCTCCCTATTTGATTTAGCAGTTGGAAGTTAGGGAAAGAGTAAATAGAAGAGAGGTTCATTGTAGATATTGTAATGAAGGGGTGACTAGAATTCTGGATAACTAATTTTGGAGATGTTGTAGAGGACCGGAGAGATGAGAGATAGAGATTTGTGCTGGAAAGTCATTTTTCCAAGGAGGTAGGACATAAATCTACTTCTCAATGCCTCAGGCTCTACTAGTGGCGAGCCTCAAAGGAGTTGATGCATCAGGGGATAACCTAATGAAACAATGGTCAGAGACTTTAGACTTTGAACGCAATAAGAGAGAGGCAGGGCTGATAGCAGTTAGATGGGGTAAAGTTAAGGAGATGGGGTGGTTGGAGGTGAACGAGCTGATAGTAATTATATGGGGCTTACTTAAAGTGAAGGAGATGGGGTGGTTGGAGGTCAACTGCAAAATTGAAGACAAAAGCCTTCTAGCATTGTTGCAGAGAATAGACTTTTATGATTGTTATGTTTTGGTTTGAACTGTAATTTTATGTTGGACAGTGTTAGGAGTAGAGTTTATTCTTTTTTAGCAGAGAAAGTTGTGTACTTAGATGGAAACGTAGTAACCATTTGGTTTCTTATGTGTACTTTCATTTCTGAACTTTTATATGTTTGCTTGGTTTGCTTGAAAAAAAAAATGTAAGATCATAGTACATTCTAATTCAATTATATTTTCTTTTTTGAATTGGCGGTTCATAATTTTAAGTTATAATTGTTTTAACCTCGTTTTTCATTCAAACTATAAATCTAAAATATTATGTGTTACATTTCATTATCATCTATTTTTAGTAGAGTTTGTGTTTATTAACGGCGCTACAAAACATGTTAATGAAATCAATTGGTATGCATGCCTAAATCTTACCAAGTTTTTTTGAATTTTTTGAAATTATTAAAACAACTACTTATAGACTATTAAGGATTGACTATCTCATTACTCGCTTGTGGGCCAATATGTGACTTCTATGGAAGTTTAGATATTTGTATATGCCGAATGTCATCTACAAGATGCTGCTTAAATTGAAATATTACTTTTAAGTTTGAGATTGGAAAAAAATATGAAGGCATGCAGACGCTCATGGAAGATGTTGAACAAGATGAATAATCGAATGACACAAGTACTACTATAGGATTGGGTGAGCAATCATGTTGACACTAAAATTACCAGCACTATTTCATTCTTGTAATGCACACTTAAAGATAAGTTACACAAATAAAGTATATGAACATACATAGCACCTGAAAAAAATGAACCACAAAATTAAGATGGTTAACCAAAAGAACTCATTTCGAACAGTTCAATTTGCAAACAAGCACGCCATATCTTACCAGGTTTTTTTGATTTTTTTGAAATTATTAATACAACTACTTATAGTCTATATGGGATCAACTATCCCATTGTTCGCTTGTTCAACATTACCATTGTGATTCCTTTGATAACAACTTGGACTAGACTTACTATGTTGGTCAATCCCTTCCCCTATTCGAGCTAATTTCCCTGTCTAATGCCCGAGCTTCCAAATGTCCGAGCTCTTTAATCGTCGAGCTATAGATGGGATTAAGTTATTTGAACACCTTAAATGCTAAGCTATCAGTAGACTTAAGTTGTCTGAGCTCCTTAATCGCCAAGCTATAGATGAGCTTAAGCTATCCGAGCTTCTAAACCAACC